TAAATTCTCAGAGAAAATTATCTCCCTACAATTGTTTGTCTAACTTAGGAGTAACTCTTAAAAAATTTAGGCTATAGTGATATCAGAAGTATCTAATTTGTCTATTGTTGTTCTGTCTTTGTTCCAGGTTTCTTGAATGTAGTGATCATTGTGAGTAAGACCCAAAAATTTTGAGAGGAATGTCTGGTCTTATTGTGTCTGCTTATAATGGCTTTACTGTGCATCCTGTTGAGGAAACTAAAGTTGCACCACAGGGGGCCCTTAGAATGAGAATCCCAAGCAGTGTTAACAGTGGTCTGGTGACTGTTACAAAGCATGAAGCCTCTCAAATAATATACTACTTTCATTCAATATTAGGAAACATGGAAAATACTGCTTTTCCTTTCTAGATGTTTTAGGAATTTTGATTTGGTTTTTTTTTTTTTCTTCTTATGTGCTGCTAGTTTATAATGCCAGTTTAATACAATTTGACAGCATTAAACAAGAAGGTGGAAAGTAGTGTAAATGATGGTATCAGTAATTTGAAACTTTAAGTAGCCTGAGGTATCTGTGTAAGAATTACAAGCTCTAAATAGTGCCCTTGACAGTGCCCATTAATGCTTATGCAGAAATGTCTTCTGGATCTATTGCTGCTTAGTTTATGCTGAGTAGAATTGCCCATTCCTTCCCATAAAGCTTGCTTTATGTGGATGTTTGTCTTAAGTATTTGTCAAATAGCTTAAAGTTGCTTTCTGTTTAAGATATTGGTGATGTGAGACAGATAAGATATGAAGGAAGAAAGTGAAAAGACTGTTTATGGTATAGTAAGTGTGCCATTGCTGTTTGGTGTCTCCTTTTAGGATTAAGTAAAACAAAGGTTATTTTCAAGTAATTGCTTGAGAAGGATCTTATACAGTGAATGGAACCAAGGGGATTGGCTCCATTCAAAGCTTTAAAAATTGTCTAATAAAAAAAGCAGCTTCAGAATATTGCTTTTTAATATTTCTGGCACTGGGCAGGCTTTTGGTCTCCCCATCTGGTGCAGAATCCTTAAGGCATGGTCTGTACTGGTGCAAATTAAAGGAATTTCAAGGCTGCTATAGGTTTTACCTGCATGAAAGGAATCATATCATAGCTTATATTGGCATCTAGCCTGTTGTTGCTGTGTTGCCACAATAATAGAAGTCAGAGGACTTTCAGAAAGCACTGTTTTCTATGCTTTAAAGAGCTGTGCTAGTTCCTAGCTATTCCTCTAAATGCAGTTTTCTCTGTAGAATTAGATATGAGATTAAAAAATTTAAGTGGTCACAAAAAGCATAACATCAACGAAACTAAATTAAGTGACAGTCTTGATTTGTACTGAAGGACTCACTGAAACTGTGGCACACTGAAACTATGACCTTTAATGTATAGTATGCCCTGTAGACTGCCCTATAATACAAAAAAGCTTCTCCCCTGCATTGTGTGTGTATTTTTTTTCTTTAACTCTTTTTTCCTTCTCTGTGGAAATTAGAAGGTGATGTGAAGTCTGGTACCTTATTTATTAAGGGAAAAAGATTTAAAATGGTGTTATGTTTGTATGTGCGATCACCTGTTGTATTCTGAGTTAATGTTGCACAAGTGTTCTTGCAGCAACCAGGACTAAACTGCATACCACAAAGATGTTATGGCTGCCTTGCACTTTCTTAATCATTTGCTGTCTCAGGTTTTAAATATCCGGAGACTGGAAATGGATGCAAGCAGGGCTTGGCTAAGGATGAGTTACATAATGCTGCACGCCGTTCCAGGCAGGACCAGTGCAGTACTGCAGTCTGGCCCTTCTGCGTGAGAGGAAACAAGACTTGTAATGTTAAACTGTTGAAAAGATAGTCAGGGTTGCTCCTCTCTTTTGGTTTTTCATCCTATTTAAAAACCTACTGGTGGCAGCATATTTCATGCTGGTGTTGCTGCTGAAGATCCTGCTAAAACAAAACTAACTTTTGAATCCTTCTGTGTGCTTGATGCAGAACAATTTTTTTGTTTTTCTATATTGCCGGGTCAGCCATTTCTCAACTTTAAGCCTAATATATGGCTGTCATTCGCTCCTTGCCATGAAATACTCATATTGAATGTAATCTGATTTCTGAAAGGAGTAGGAGGCCCATAGGAGTACTGGGGGTGACACTGTAATGTTGTTTTACTTCATGCCTCCCTGCCCTGAAGCACTCTGCTACATGATAAATTTAACATGAAAAAGTGAGATACAGCCTGATCTTCTAATCAGCCATTAATGTGGGTTAGTAAGGAGCAACTTTCGTACAGGGCCAGTTTGAAGCTGCTTTTGCTGTCTTCACCTTCAGGCATATTGTTATAGCAGTTAAAAAAGGCAAAAAACCCAGACTTGTGATCTGAAATAGAACAGCTGGTGCAAATCTAGAGGCTGAGTAAACACTATGGCTTCTACACCTGCCTGCCCAAGACATGTTGCTGACATCCTTTCTCTCAAGATATCTATTTGTGAAAATAGGCATGAGGGGGAAGGATGATATGATTACTCTTTAATGCTACGTGCATTTAACTTAAAGCAATTGTCAGTTGCTACTCCACTGTCTGAAGCACTATATTCTTTTTGTGTGTTCAAAATAAGGAACGATAAGGAACACTTAGCCCTGTTGAATCTCACACATGGATCCAGCCTGTCCACATCCCTCTGTAGAGCCTTTCTACCTTCAAGCAGATCAACACTCCCGCCCAACTTGGCGCTGCCTGCATGCTTACTGAGAGTGCCCTTGATCCCCTTGTCCAGATCGTTGATAAAGATATTAAACAGAACTGGCCCCAATATGGAGCCCCGTATACCAAATATATATACACACACATACATATAAATATATATATGTTATAGTATACACAAATATACATATACGCAAAAGTGCTTGATATTAACTTTTATGTAAACAGGTAACAGTGTAAGAAGAATACAGAGAGTACAAGTTCTGATTCTAGTTTGGGATAGACTTTGCTTGCTTCTTTTTGTACTTTCTGTACTAATGGAGGTGTCCGATACAGTGATAGATAATGAATAGTAAAGTGTTTTTTCCTAAATATAACCGGTTTGTTTGGGGAAATTTCTGTGATATTCTATGAAGGAAACATCACACCAGTCTAAGCAGTAGAACAGATGTGACTGACTCTACTGTAAACAACTTCAATATGTACCTCATTTCTTACATGATACTATGTATAAAGTTACTATTGAATTATAAAAAAGTACAAATTTACATAAATTTTGGTAGTGACTACAAAATACTTTCAGCAGTAGAAGTAAACTTCTCGACATTTTTTTCTTTTTTTCCTTCCCCTCAATTTATAAACTCAGTGAATTGTGTGGCTTCTGAAATTGCATGTTCTGTACTGTCAGCGGTAAAGTCGGTAGTGTGTAGTAGCTATTTTTGGTGTTCTCCCTATGTCACATCAAAACAATGCTTTTGCTTTGGATCAATTTATGAATGTATTTCTGGAATGCAGTTAAGGTGGTATTTTTCTGGATGATCCTACCACCCTTTTGAGATGCTGAGAATAATTTGTAAATCCAATCACTTATTCACAAAACAGTTAAGAATCTTTGCAATATGAAAATGATCTGTTTACAAATAAAGCCCAGGCATTTTGCCTAAAAGCTTAGAGTAATATGACAAACTGAGTCTGTTGCAAGATCGATACTTGGAAAACAGTTTGTGGCTTAAAAACAGGGGAGGAAATGGGACAGCATGCTGGGAAGGAGGTGTAGCCATTCATATGGATAGAATACAAGGGGTTTGTATTGCGAGTTTATTTTTTTAAAGCTGTAAGTGGGTCTGTGAAATTTGTGTTGTGTCTCTGGTTATCTGGAATGATGAAAATCTGAAATGTTTAAGCTTATTTTTCAGCTATGCTGAGTGTAGGCAAGAGACCTAGAAGTCCTTATTTCAGTTTCAGTGTGAACTGAAATATGAATATGAACTCATAAAAATTTCTGTTGCTTGCAGCTTACCTGTCAAGCTTTCAGGAGCTCTTTCTAAAGGATCTTTGTCAAAATTCACCACTGAGGATGTTTCCTTATGATAAGGTTTCTAAAGAAACCTCTGCCCAGCATTGTCACATGCAAGTAGTTTTAGAGAGAGCAATGTTTAAAGAGAAAAAGGTATTTGTTCATACAAAGATATGTCTGTCCAGAAGGAGGCTGTCACTTTATTTCTTTCATGTGCAGACAAACTTTTGCAGACTTCATAAATGGAGAGAACAATTTCTCTTCAACTTTGTCAGTGTGAAGCTGTAAGCTGTAGCAGCTGGCCAGTAAGGGTCAGAAATGTGATTTTTTTTTTTTTTTTAAATCTATGGGTAGTATTTCTTTTTTTTGAACACCTGTAGCTATGAAAGGTTATGTAGACTATGTAGTGGGAATATTATGACATGTAATACAGCTGTTTCATGCATATTTGAGAGAGATTTAGTTGTTTTCCTGTTAAATTTCTGCTATCTTTCAGTGTTTTCTTTCAATCTCCTTTCTTTCTTCTCTGCTCCCATTTTGTGGTTAGTAGGCATAAGCCTCTATGAAGATTCTTATGAAAACAAGTTCTTAAGCCATCATCTTGGGAAAGATCTTGGTACATTGCCTTAAATGGCTACAGTACCTGCTGACGTGTTTAGTTCTGCAAGAGTAGCAAGGACAAAAAGATTGAGGCTGAGATCAGTTTAAGCAGATAAGAGTCACAAGATGCTGTCCCAATTTAAATGAAAGCAAAACACTAAATTATCCTGTGGAATTTTTTCCTATTGGTTCCATGCTTGTTTGTTTATAGTTTGCCTAAGCTTCTTCTGAGAAGCATATAATGAAAAAGGCAAAATGCCAGAAACACCTTGGTGAATGTTAATGCTGATTTTTCTGCAGTTGGCTAAACCCTCTTGCTCACTGTAACCTGCTTTTCTACTGCTTGTCTTCTATGTCTTGCTATTAATTTTTAAAAAAATTAAAGGTAACTAAACTGATTTTTTCCTTCTAGTTCATAACTGGACTCAAGAGGACACTCTTCAGTGGCTGTCAGAATTTGTTGAACTACCCCAATATGAAAAGAATTTTAGAGACAGCAATGTCAATGGAACAACACTTCCCAGGTAATTGTTTCTTATGGATTAGTTTCACATAATTCCCTGTAGGTTGCTATTTCAGTCTGTATGTGTGAACAGCTATGTGAACCTAAAGTCTAAAAAGATATGGTGAAATGCAAGAAGAGAGAAGCGTCCTTGCAGTTTTGAAGAGATGGCTGCATTTTTATTTTTGCCAAAATATTTAAAAATATAGATGCTTCTTGCCACTCTTTTTGCCTTAATTTTGCTTCTTGCTGTTGAAGCTTTTATTGATGATCGCATAATTCTGTATGCTAGCAAACTTTCTTTTGAACAACTTCCAACCTGTTGTAGGTCTATACATAAAAAACTATCTGCAGAACTCCTTTTCTTGAGCATAACTACTAAATTTGAGTATTGCATGTATTTGAGACGGTGTCACCAGTCTGCAAATATACCATTACCTTTAACTATGCTAAATGGATTTATCTCATGATTCTTCCAGAAAGAAAAGAACAGGGAAATGATTTGATGTTCTTCCTTTGCCACATGCTGATATGCTTTTTTTATAGCACTACTGTCATTGTGATGTATCTCTCACTCTAATTGTATAACTGTGGGAAATGTTATTGATGTATTTCTTTCCATAGACTGGTTTTGAATATAGCTTGTGCAATGGGTAACGTTTTCTCTTATCATTAACAGGATAGCAGTAAATGAACATGCTTTCATGATCTCTCACTTGAAAATAATTGACCGGAGCCATAGACAGAAGCTTCAGCTTAAAGCCTTGGATGTTGTTTTATTTGGACCTCTCACACGTTAGTAACTTTTAGGAGTTTTTTCCTTATCTCTTATTTGTAAGAATTCAACAGAGAATGCTTTCGGTGACCCTTGGTACTGTAGGTAGGACAGCTTAGCTATTTTGTGGATGTACTGGATGTGAACGTGATGAATTGCTTGGTATGCATTGTGGAACTGGGCAATGAATTAAAAAAGGTTATCAAGATGCTGGGATCAGGACAAAGGTTCAGTCTGTGTGTAAGATGATGTAGAAACTTCAGTATAACCCCACTTGACAGATGGATGTTGGCTTTTGTGTCGCAAGAAGCATCCTCTAAATGTTTTTGACTGTTTAAATTACAGTTATAGCTAATGTTACAGTCACTTCTCAATTAGCTTGGACAGCGTAAGCTGGGATGCTGAAATGAGGGGGGATGACCTTCCACAAGGAAGAAAAAAGGAGATGGTGGTGCAAATCCAATACCAGTGTCTTGTGTGCAGACTCGAGTTTAAGTGCAGTTAAATATAATGCAGCAGTTCCACATATGACCCATTTTAGTACATACAGACATTTCCTTACGACATCACCAGTGGTCTGCGTGCTTGCTTGTACAGTTACAGATAAGTTGTGGTACTGTGCATGTCAGGTATTCCCAAACTAGGAGGCCCTTCCAGAGCTTGGTGGTCAGTTTGGAGACTAACGAATGAGTGCAAAAATCAGGCTAGATCTGAGTTAGCCTGAGATCTGAGCTGGAGATTTTTAGGGGAAAAAAAGTACTTTGTGTTTGCATTACACCTTTAAAAGACAGTTTCTGCTAGCATTAAAAGTTTGTTTTACAAAGGTGCAAGTGACTGTAAAAGTTGTACTAAGAAGTGTATGTGAATCTTGGATATAATACTTTGACAATCCAGGTTTTCCTTTTAAAAAGTGCTGCTATTAGCTACTTACCCTTTAAAAATCTCTTTATTTTGTACAAGTGCCTTTGTAACTCAGCATAGGGTATTCCAGGGGATGCAGACTGAGGAGAACTTACTCATAACTGAAGTTCCTACTGGCCTGATAAAGTGTAATTGGGGAAACTCTCTCTTAACTTGTTTAAATAGAGATACAGACTATGTATTGTAAAAGTTTAGTAAGCTTTCCTCAATCTAATATATGTTTTAGTATAGAATAAGTATATTGTGTTAGAGCCAAGTTGCTTATGTTGTATGGAAAATGCTCTGGAATCCATTTGAAAGGTCGAAAGGCAGTTGTTGGAGGTGATTTGAGATAAATGAGCTGGAATTCTGTTTAGCATCAGGTTCTGTCATTTTTTAGGCTGTGGGGAAAAAAAAAGAGTCCATGGTCTGTTGTCTATGTCAATGAACTAGTTAATGATCATGTTATTCTCTGCACAGGTCCCCCTCACAACTGGATGAAGGATTTTATATTAACAGTTTCTATAGTTATTGGTTTTGGAGGCTGCTGGTTTGCATATACACAGAACAGATACACAAGAGAACATATCACAAAAATGATGAAGGACTTAGAAAGTCTCCAAACAGCAGAGCAAAGTCTTCTTGACTTGCAGGAAAGGTATAAAAAATAAAAAACTTAATGTTTAGTTGTCCTTTTGTTTTGAGGTTAAATACAAATACAGATCCTTTACAGTCATAAATTATTTGCATTAAGCTGCCTTTGGATTTTGTTCATCTTCATTTTGCATGTCAATTGTGATTTTGGTGACGATGGGTATTTGGGTAGAAATTGCTTCTGGGTGTGTTAGCAGGCAGTATGAACTTGGGGATGAAGGTAGAGAATAGAGGTTCAATCTTTTTGACCTACCGATTTAGAAGTATGTACTGTTGTTTTCATATAATTACGGTTTACTTTGGAATACTTACATACATGGAAATGAGAACATTTCTTCTGGTTTTAAGCTCTTAAGATTGAAACAGACCTGGACTGATTACTTTCTATTGCTTATTTAGCAGTGTGAGAGTTGGTAGTCTTCTCCGGTGCACCTGTAACTCAATTGTCTATAAAGACTTGTATTTTGATTTTATTACACCTTTAATGAAGGTTCACCTAAAAGTTCTCATATTCTGTCTGATGTGGACATCACATTGTGTGATGCAATTGCTGCTGGTTCATGACGCTTGCACAGTCTTTATTATCACAAAATGGTTGAGGTTGGAAGGGACTTCTGGAGGTCATCTTGTTCAGCCCCACCTGCTCAAGCAGGATCATCTAGAACAGGTTGCCCACGACCATGTCCAGGCAGCTTCTGAATATGTTCAAAGACGGAGACTGCCACCTCCCTGGACAACTGCTGCCAGTGCTCAGTCACCCTCACGTGTTTCCTGATGTTCAGATGGAACTTCTTGTGTTTTGGTTTGTGCCCGTTGCCTCTTGCCCTGTTGCTGGACATATTTTCTTCTCCTGAGGACTGCAACTTTTACAAATATGCTGTGTATTTTCTCATATTTTTTGTTCAATTGTGAAGGCTTGAGAAGGCACAAGAAGAGAATAGAAATGTTGCTGTGGAAAAGCAAAATCTGGAGCGCAAAATGATGGATGAGATCAATGATGCAAAACGGGAAGCTCATCGCCTAAGGGAGTTGAGGGAGGGAGCTGAATGTGAGCTCAGCAGGCTCAAATATGCAGAGGAAGAGCTAGTACAGGTATCTGCAAACTGTTTATAATTTTAGTGTTGACTTCAAAATGGTCCTGGTTTTATTAGATCATTAGGAGAGTTTAAAGCAGCATTTCTCTAATGCTAGATTTGAAAGGAAAAATTCTAAGAGCACTTAATGATTGTCTATCAAACATGCCATAATAATCCTGAAACTATAAAAAGACATACACTTTGTATATTAGCTTATAATGTTGTTGGATTCATGGAACAGAGTATATACAAAAGCTTTCTTTCTATCTTGTTATGAGAGACAGTAGCTTTGTCTCAGTCTTCTGAGTAGCAATAGATTGGATTTATTGTACTAAATAAAAACCCTGTCCTAGAAAAATATTTAAGCTTCAATTTAGGGAGTATATATCACAAGAAAAAAAAATTGGAGTATAATATAGTATATGGAAACTTGTATGCTATATTTCACAAATGCCTTTCTGACAACAATTGGCACACACCAAAGCTCTGTAAAGCCGTACTAAAACAACTACGTTGCTGTGGTATATAAAGAAGCTTATATTTCACTTTCTTCTGCTGTAAGTTCTAATGATACTCGTGGTGACGTTTTTATTTCTTTTTGATTGCTAGGTTCGCATGGCTTTAAAAAAGGCTGAGAAGGAGTTTGAGCTGAGAAGTAATTGGTCTGTTCCTGAAGCTTTGCAGAAGTGGCTTCAGTTAACACATGAAGTTGAAGTACAATATTACAATATCAAAAGACAGCATGCAGAAATGCAATTAGCAATCGCCAAAGATGAGGTACTAACTCTTAACTCTTCAGCTATTTAAAGACTTTTCTGATCTGTTGCTAGATATATGAAATGGTAAATACAGATCATTCAGATACGTGTTTGGATATTTGTTTTTCCTCCTCTGAGTTGTTGTTTGCTACCTGTCAATATTGCTAGTGTTTTGTCATCTGTGTTAAGTATATGACTGCTAGTTTATGCATTTCACTTTATCTTGCTTTTTTAGGCAGAAAAGATAAAAAAGAAGCGAAGCACTGTATTTGGAACATTACATGTTGCACACAGCTCCTCCCTGGATGAAGTAGACCATAAAATCCTTGAAGCAAAGTAAGACTATTAACAGGATGCATATTCTTTTATGATTATTTATTTCTGGAACAATGGAATTTTTTGAGAGTTATGGAATTCAGTGTCTTAGTGGTTTTGCACTTTTAAGTAAAACAGTTTAAAAGATACTAAAGTGTAAATATTTGGACAGTCCTAATGGATCTTCTGGTATGCTAGAATGACTGCACTTAATGTTGCTTTGCTTTATCGTTAAGAACACTGTATGTAATTTTAATGTGTGCTTCTTTTCAGGAAAGCACTCTCTGAGTTGACGACATGTTTGCGAGAGCGTCTTTATCGATGGCAACAGATTGAGAAGATTTGTGGTTTTCAAATAGCACACAATTCTGGGCTACCAAGCTTGACCTCCTCTCTCTACTCTGATCATAGCTGGGTAGTTATGCCTCGAGTTTCCATTCCTCCTTACCCAATTGCAGGGGGAGTTGATGACTTAGATGAAGATACTCCTCCAATAGTTTCACAGTTTCATGGTAAGTGGTGAGCTCAGTAAAAAGAAGGGGAAAAGTTGTGGAGGCATGGGATTTTTAAGTCAGGTGGGAGAAGAGTGCTGAAATTAAACAGGATTGGATCAAAGTCAAAAGGACCAAAATTCTATCTAGCATTTCAGATGCATCTTTTGGGACTTGCATAAACTGAAACCTGGGTTTTGCAATAAAGATAATGTGATGAAAAAACCTTCAGTCCCTTTCAGTGGGGGGGTGGGGGAGTGGAGCGCAAATCCAGCTGGGGTTTTGAAAGTCTGCTTGTCATGCTTGGATTGCCACTTAGACAAAAATTTATAATGAGTAATGCTGAATTTCTGTTAGCACATTTATTCTTTCAGATGGAAGGGATGGAGTTAGTCTGGGGTCCCTTGAGCTACTAGGAAGATCACACCCTTTGAAAGGCTGCATGTTACATAACTTTTCAAGCATTCTTCAGTGGCTGGAACAAAATCCTGCTGTTCTCCAAGGGAAGCTTTCAGGCAGAATGTTTGTGTTTGGATACAGCGGGTGGTTTGAGTATGAGGCAGAGAGGCCAAGTGTTGGAGGGAGGGAAATCCAGCTTTGGTTAAACTGTGATCAAAAGATATACACTGGGGATTCAGACCACCCTCATATCTTGAGTCATTGCGTCAATACAAGAACTTGTTTCATGGAAGTTGTCATTAACTGGACTCTAGAGGCAAATCAAAAAGATGAGCTCCCATGTAGCTGTTCAAACAAGCAATATGAAGCTGAGGAATAAGTAGGGAAGAAAACTTTTCTTACAGGGCTGGGATTCTCAGAAGAAATTAGAACTGTGTTTTAAAATAGCATAAGGAGAATAGTTGCCACTTTGGCTTAGTTTAGTGTGCCTTGGGCACATGTTATTCTTCTGAATGTACCAACCTTTTTTCTACAAGCCGTATTGAAAAGTTCATTCATCTCCTTGCAACAGTACTTACTGCAATTTCTGATCACTTTTGAAGAATACTGTCTCTCTAGTTGTCTTCACTGCAAGGGCTTTGATTTAAACCTTAGCAACAAACTTCTTGGATGGCCCAGTAAAATATGGAGTTAAACTTCCAAGTCTATATGGAGAAACCTGTGGACTGATTTCAGAATGAGGAACTCCATTTATTATCGCAACTTTCTAGATGGTCTAAAATGACAAAACACTTAGATATCTATATAAGACTTCAGACTTGTGATTTTTTTAGTCACTCTTCTCACTCAGGTCTTGCATAGAAGTGAAGCCAGAGACAAAGTGTAGTTGGTTCAGAGGAGCCACGATTAGAGAAGGACTGTACAGTTTGTAAGAGCATACTTAGTCGAAACTTTATTGTATACTTTTGCAATTATGGTTTAATTTTTACTTGAAGTTCACTTCCTTTGGAAGTATTTAGCTAATGGATGTTGTCTCAGTGATGAAAGTTGTCTGAATCTTAATAACATTACAAAAACTTCAAATGTCTTTTTCGGAATTTTGGTAAGGCATGAGAGCCTGATTTTGTTAAAGGGATCACAGGAGCAAAGTAGGTTTTTCCTTAATTTACTAGCTTTTGAAATTTCTACTGGGTAAAAAAAAAAAAAAACTGGAAACACTTGGGATTGGGGAAAGGGGGGGGAAATATGCTGAATGATCTGTTGTTGAAACCAGTTCAGGAGTCAGATTATTGTAGGTTACTTTGGTAACTGCTAAATTGTTCCCACCCTCTAGACAAAAATGACAAATGCACATGAGAAAGGATAGAAGCAAAATGGTTTGTCTCACTTATTGAGGCTTCAGGCAAAATGCAGTATGCGGACAGGTCAGTTATGAGGAAGACTGTTTCAGTGTCTGGACCTAAACTGAACTGTCTGGGCTGTTACCTTGTCCCAGCATCCTTTGATCTCTTAAGATTGACAAAATTTGAAGTCTGCCACACAGGCTTCTTTGTGCCACAGCAACTGGGATGACAGCCTAAAATGGTGTGAAATAATACATCTGTTTAACCAATCCTGAGCTGAAGAACAAAAGGGGATAAAGAAATAGATGTACGAGACTGGAACAAAGTCATTACAGGAAGGTGCTAGTGAAACTTCTCCTTTTCCATTGACTGATTAAGATTCAGCTGACTCCTTGATTTAGTGAGTTTCATTTATGCTAGAAAATTCTAGATGTTAAATTATCATAGCCGAATCTTTCATAATCCCCATGTATATAGGCCTACAGGGAACCAAAATGCTTGTAACTTCTCTCAAAAGTGACTGATGATGCAATCTCGTTCTTTTTTACACCAGTGAGTAGGATGGCATCTGATTTACCTGGGCACATAGCACAAATTTCCTAAAGGGATTCTTATTCTCTTATCTCAGTTCATGTTTGCTTTTTTTGGAGTAGTTTTGTAATGGCACAAGCTTATTTTTGAGCTGCCGACACCTGCTTTGCTTTCCAGGTCGGTAGGGAGTTCATCAAAAGTAAAATCAGAAGTTTGAGTTAAATGGTGACTGTCATGTTGGGACTTGTAAACCTTTCTTTTCTGCTCAGCCCAGCAGGAAACAAGGTCTAAATGTTTGCAAAGGTGCAACTACTTGCTGTTTTGTGAAAGTTGTGATTTCCTGCACTAAAAGCAGAATGACAACTCAACCTTTTCTGAGATTCCAGGAAGAGAAACTGTAATTTACCTGATGCTAAACTGGCATCTCAAAAAAGAAAATGCATTTCGTCAGGCTAGACATCCTTTTCTACAAAAAATAATTGAATTTTATTTGTTGTTGTGTTTGGTAAACATTGTGAACATCAGTAAGGGTATGGTCTGTCTTACCTAAGCAGTGAATACATTCTGTGGGACAGTTTGAGGAGGGGTATGAGAAATCCTGAGGCTCATAACAGCTGGCCTGAAAACAGGTCTGTAGATTTATTTCCATAGAAGTATTGCTGCCTAATCATCTTTTGAAGGAGGAATTGGATTAGGAACACTTTAGTTTGCCACTTCCTGTTAGATACTTTCCTGGTCAAGTCTTGTGTTGCTCTCTCCACCCATTCTTAGTATTTTGTTTCCGGAAATTCATAGTTTGCCTGGCAAAAGAAAGTATTATCAAATGGGAAATTCTTGAGCTTAAAATGAGGTGGAATTATATATTTTTCTATCATGTTATATAAATGAGATTGGTCTTCCCTGTCTAATGTAACTTTCAACTAACAAAGTGTATTTCAGTTGGCTGTTTGGTTAGGTACACCTATGTTGCGAAACTTTTACATATTCTTTTAAGCTCCAGGCTGCCACACAAGTAAAATACAGGATATTGTGTAACATACTAATTTCAGCGCTGCTATTTTTAGTTTATAAAGGGTTGGAAGTTTCAGTAGAATCTTTCTGTTTGTTCTCAAGAGAGCATAGTGAGCCAGAGCTTTGGTGCGCACGGTCAGAGTAATATTTGGTAGGCACAAAACTGCTGCAGTTGCATCTTGGTTAGCTGCTTCATCTAACCGTAGAATGTATAAGGTGATGCCAGTCCTTCTTCCTCTAAACAGTTGAGCAATGTCAAAGTTGTTTAAGAATCACTGTGGCTGAATACCTGCTATTTAGTCTTCCGAGTAGACATTGTTAACATCAATGTCACTTGGAGGGTTTTGGTTTGCTTTTTCTTTGCCTCAGGGTCCATTGTAAAACCTCCCAGCACACTGGCAAGAAGCAGTAGCTTGTGTCGATCAAGACGCAATGTTGTGCCATCATCTCCACAGTCTCAGCATGCTTTGCACTCCCCTGATCCTGACATCCTTTCTGTGTCAAGCTGCCCAGCTCTTTATCGAACGGAAGACGAGGAGGAAGCCATTTACTTCTCTGCTGATAAACAATGGTACGGAGATTAGCAAACAGCACTTGGAACTGTGATAGGATCATTTGAGACTAGCAGTTTTAGAATTCGAGGTTGAACCAAGCCAAAAGTTAAAGTAATCAGTAGGATAATATAAATTAATATAGTCCACACGGAACAGAGAGAGTTCTTGTCTGGTGTTTGTATGTAAATAGCTAGCATGTCATATACAGTTAAGTAATGTTACAATCCAGGGTGCACTGAACTAACCCTGATTCTCCATTACAATGTGTTACTGGCTTTTACATCTGAAACTAGGATCAAAAGCAATGTCAGCTACTGGGCGAAGAGAAGATGGATGGTAACACAATTCTTACAGCATGTTGAGCGTGTACCTACTCTTGTTACATGGCCTCATAGGAAAAGGTTAAATTCCTTTTGGAAGGAGCAAATGAGCTTGTTGAAAGGTAGGGACACTTGCCCTGAAGAAACTTTTTGTATATGATAGGCTTAAATCTCCTTCTTTCATTTCATAACTTTCCTGACTTCATGTGCCAGAAAGATAGTTTTTATTCTTTGAAGTCAGGTACAAATGATTGATTCTGGGCAAATGCTGCTGCCCACAAAAACAAGATTGCACAAATTAATTATCGTAAGTTTAGATAATAAAATGATGTAATGTAAGTTGTAAGTTAAAATGTTTAACTTAATGTTTTTTGTTAATTAACTACTAAGGAAAAGTGTGGGTGGTGCTTTTAGACTAATGTTATTGATTCTATATTAATTTCCTGCCTAACTGCATGAAGGAAATAGTAGTTTCATTATGTTTTCTCTTCTCTTTGCTCTGACTCAGGGAAGTACAGGAAACAGGTTCGGAATGTGACTCCTTAAATTCATCCACTGGAAGGAAGCAGTCTCCTCCAGCAAGTCTTGAGATGTACCAGACACTTTCTCCTCAGAAAGCATCCCCGGAAGAATTCTCACTGGAGGAGTCATCTACAGGAGACTCCTCTTCTCTAACTGCAGATATTTCTAGGGGCTCTCCTGACTGTGTAGGCATGGCAGAAACTAAGAGCATGATCTTCAGTCCTGCAAGCAAAGTTTATAATGGAATCCTGGAGAAGTCCTGCAGCATGAACCAGCTTTCAACTGGGATCCCAGTCCCAAAGCCTCGGCACACTTCGTGTTCTTCAGCCAGCAGTGATAGTAAACCCAGCCATGAAGCTGCTTCTGTCCCTAGGATAAGTAGCATCCCACAGGACCTGTACCAAAATGGTGAAAAAAACAAAAAGCCATCAAAAATAAAAAGCCTCTTTAAGAAGAAGTGTAAGTGAGGTGGGCAGAAGAAACCTATAGTAATGTTATAAGAACTCTATTTTTTAAAACTTTAGGAATGTAATTCCATTTGAGCATTCCAGACTGGATGCCCTAATGGAATGCTCTGTAGGTCAACTATATTTAACTGACTGTACTGTCAAAGGTCGTGCCAGCTGTCAATGAGAAATCATTAAAAAGTTCAGACAGTTTACATTCATTTCTGCCTATTTATTTCTTTTTTTTTTAGTTTGTCTTTTTCAGTGGTTTTATAACTTTGTTTTGTTTAGTGGTATTTTTTGTGGTTTTTTAGTGCTTTTTTTTTGCTTTTTTTTTTTTAAGTTTATTCACAAACCATTTTTAAGCCACTTTGGACTTCTGAGCTTTAATGGACTAGTGAGCCTTCCTGGGCTTGCCAAAGTTTCTTGTTTACCGGAGCATCTTCCTATCTTTCCGTAGAGCTAGGACATTTATCTACTGGACTTTAAGAAAAATAAAAGAAATAGAACTAATTGAATTGCACTACTGTTTTACAGACTGGAAAAGTCTCTCTGCAAGTGAAACTGAAAGACTTGTATTTGACTGAGAAGATGAATCTTTTCACTTTTAGATCTTTTGGGGTTTTTAAGTAGAACTTAGGATTTCTAATTGACTTGATTTCTGGAAACGGAAATGCCATGCTTTTATTATGGGAAGCTTTGTTAGATGCATTTATTATTAGAATGGTTCAAGTCCTGCTGTAAAGATCATGTTTTTCCCAGGACTTTCACTGTGATTTTACTTCACTGCAGGCTGTATGACAAAAAAAAAAAAAAAAAAAAAAAGTAATTTAACAAGAGAAGAGGCTCTTGATTCCTTATGCAAGTGATGGATATGAAACTTGACTGAGGACTGAAAATATTCACCCTCTTAAAATGAGGAGGGGAGATAGTAGCTTTTGTTTACAGACTGATAGACAATGGACATCTGGTTTATGAAAGTTTGTACTGTGGTAAAGATAATAAATTGGAAACATTATTGTGCTTGGGAATGTTCCAATTTCAGCTGATGCTTGTTTCAGACACGTTTCAGAGGTCCTGTTAATTGAAAGCTGTTGTAGGCTACATTGCTTATGCTTACTGCTGTGTATAAGTTATTATATTTTTTGGATTAGCTATTAATGTCTTAATGTCCTCCTTTTGTAAGATTTCATACACTTTATTTTTATATAGTTTGAAGATTTAGCTGTTCAAACATGTCTGAAGTAAATGGTATAATTTTATAATGCATACAGTTATACTAACTCATAATTTTAGATGTAAAGGTAGATATAAAGGTGAGACTCGACATGCTTCAGACAAAAGCAGTTTTTATGTTAAGCTTTAATAGGGAGAGATGAAATTACTATGAGGTAACAAGGAAGCCTTCTTAGGGCAACAGTAGCTAGTTGTTCAAAACCATCTTTTTCTTTTTTTTAAACAGTTGGAGACAACAAATGTACTGCTTGAGCAACAGTGCCTTTTATTCAGTTTGTCTGAAAATATTAATACTGAGCAGGAATTTCTTTTGAGGTACATTCCAAAGAAATACTTCTTGCTCTAGTGAACACAAGCAATTTACCCAGTGATAACTAGATAGTTTCAGCTCTTCCATAGGGGTATTCTAGTTGCCTCAGTTAACAGGTGCCACTGCCGGGGACCTGTGATTAGGGGCTCACTTCTTGCCAATATGTACATGCTGTACTGTATGAAAGAATTAATTCACTGACTGCCTAAATTTTTTTCTAGTAAGGAGTCTTCAAAACCTGTAGCTAATTGAAATCAAGTGATACATGTCTTGTCTATCACTTTCTATTTAGGTTCCACTGTACATAACCAATGTGTTAGTTCTGTCCTCAAGAAGTGGTGGTGATGTTAACAGAAGCATTTACTGTGGCTAATGAAACTGTTAGAGGAGGGTTAGAAAAATGGGATGGAGACCTTCCATGTGCAAGTACCTTAAAAGTCCTGGTACATTGATTAATTCCTTAAGAGAATAGAAGGAATCCAGAATTTTACTGTGTAACAAATAATGAATGTATGCCATCTATACAGAAAAGTGTAGGAGGAATCGACTGGTAAAGTTTGGAGAAGAGAAAAACTGGTAGAATAGAAAATAATGAGAACATGCTATTGTTCCATTATTCTCTGAATCATCAGATTGAACAGCTATAGCTGCAAAAAAGGTCATCACAAGGTAACAGTGGTCTCTTTGAATAAAGATTGTACACTCTGTACATGGTATACAAAAAAAAAAGCAATGATGAAAAAAGACTTGTGCCAGAGAACCACCTCAATGCTAAGCCTTCAGAGTTGTAGTTAAAAGCCTGATGAAGTACTTGAACATGTACAAAGGGAAAAAAATACATAAAAGTAGGGAACTTATTTTGCCTCCCAAACAGCACAGAGAAGACTACTACCAGAAAAAAATCTTCTTTCAATTTTAATGTCTGTGCTTGAGAAGGCTATAGCAATAATTGAATTTAAAGTAAGATCTGGGGCTGGATAGTAGATCTTGCAGTGTGAGGTTTGAGGAACTCTATCTATCACTACCAAAGATGATGAAGTGGCATTCTGATACCGTAGAGTAAATATTTACGCATGGGAAAAAAAAATCTGGTACTGAAGAGTGCGAGGACAGCACTTCTTAATCCTGACATCAAAGTTGGGCAAGCTCAAATAGTGAGAAGCCAAAACAGAAAAATTCAGTTTTCTGTAGTAAGTATAACTAAAAATTGAAATAGAGGAGGTGTTGGACTCTTCATTGGCTGTGAGTTTAAGTGTTAGGTACCTTTTTAAAATACACAATTTAACTGTCTTGTGGAAAAACATATGTTATGGCATTGTACAAACAAATCAGATGAGATTATCATAGTGATAGATTTTGGCTTCAAAATGGCAAACCTTTGAAGCACAGACTGCTCTCAACACTCAGTTTATCACCAGCTGTCCTGTACCTTTATAGCTGCTACTTAATAAATATTACAGAACTAAAAGCTTAAGTTAATATGATCAGAAGTGGTGAGTGTTGTATGTTGGAGCACAAACTGTAATTTTAAGTTCATAGAGTTGGGGGATTTTTGAAATCATTTTTGTAGACCCCTTGCACATCTTGCGACCTAAATCTCTCCACAATCTAAATGACTTGCATTGCTTCTACTGTGGCTACTGTAGAAGTGCTTGTCTTCGAACTGTTAGCAGCCTTTTGCTAAGTTATGTTGAGAGCACTGACTCTAAGGTAGGTCCTCACCGGCAAACATCAAATCCAGTCTTAATGTTGAAGTACCTGGCATATGTCAACATCTCAGAAGTGAGACAATGTGCTTTAAAAGGTCCTCTGTTTTTCCTCCATTTGCTTCATGGTGTAACTTGAATTGGCTGGCAGTCAGTGAGTCCAGCCAGCATTCCAGCCACTAGGATTTCTGTAAGACATGTCAGTCATCTGAGACAATCATCTAGTGTTATCACCCTTAAATGGCTGAGGACTTCCTAAGCTCTAAACTTAGAATGGTTGTGATCGGAGGGGTTTGTTTTTTTGAGCTTTTCTAGCTAAAATCCATGTTCTATTTTAAATTCTCCAGTATTTCTCAGAAGGTGGGGAGCTTTGCTTTCTTAAATATTTTGTTGCCCTTTTTCAGGACTTCCCCTTTGTGGAAACTGCCTAAAAGGCTTCTCCCTGAAGAGGTTACCATTTAAACCTTTCACCTGTAAAAGGAAGAAGTGTTATGTGTGGTTCTATATAAAGAAGGAAAAAAAAAAAACCCACCCAAAACCCAATTCTTCCAAAACTGAACAAACCCAAACCTTTCCACAATTCTTGCTAAAGCTATGTGGCACTTCTTTCCTAATAGCGTAAAAACTTCAGGAAAGGCATTTCTGGTTGCAATGGGGAATGCTTTTGACCAGTTTATGGTGGACTTTGAGATTAAAACAGTTGATTCTTTTTCCCCTGCTCAGTGATGGAATTTAAAATTGCTCACTGGCAGTTCCAGGCATATGTCAACTTTTGTTTTCCCACTTCACTGGTACCTAGGTAGCAGATTACTCTCTACTTTCTGATGGGCAGTTTGCTGAAAGAGGGAAGATTCTCCATCATACTCAAGGTAATAATGTTATAGTAAGAATATGGTTCCTCATTTGGAAGCCTTGAAGATGGTCATAAGTTTTCTTGTGACATTTATGGATGCCAGCTTGAATTAGGCATTAACTTGCGACTGATTGAAAGCCTAAAAAGATAAAATTAATTAGAAATGGAAGCTTTCAAGATTTTGTCCTTTTGCTTCCCAGTGTGTGGGAAAACAGCATGCACAGGAGAGAGATGAGCTCTAATTAGCATTTCTCATACCACCAACTTTTAGAGCTTCAGGATAGTTTCATTCCATTTCCATGATACATTGCTGGAGAGGGATTACTACCTTAATTTTATAATGTATGCAAAGAAGCATTTATTTTTCATTTACTTACAAGCAGGGGAGAAGAATGTAAATAAACCGAATGCTTAACTTAAAAAAGAAAAAAAAAATCTTGAAGCCAAATAGAGGAATTACTGGTTCTTGGACCTCTTTACTCTTTGCTTGTCTCCTTGTACAATATGTTAAGTAGGGTGAACACGGTTTTCTAATCTGTTCCAGTTGCACTGACTAAAGTGATGTATTACTATTTCATGTTTGAAACACTGCTTGCTCTGAACTGCTCTAGGCATTTTAATCCTGGATGTTGCATCTTCATTGAATAATGGTTAAGCCTACTAGGGCTGTTTGATTCTAAGTGCTGGTAAACTTTTCTACTAGTGACTTAAACACAGATGTTGGTATAACCAGTAACCAAAAAAGGCTTTTGCCAGGAGAGCCGGACTGCCTGACAGCATGTAAATGTTGAGGTAACCATTCTTAGAGGCTTCAGTAGCAGTTCAAGAGTCATACACATTTTCAATAGATAACTTTCCCTTCCAGCCCTGTAGAGATGGTGCTGATCTGAAACTTCACTTAATCCTCTCTTGCATAAACAGAATGCACTGATTCATATAAATTGTAACAATAATAACCTTTAAACTGTTATTCCCAGTTGCTCTTGCACCTGACATTAAGCAAGATAGCAGTACTTATCACTCCACTTCAGTCTTTCAGAAATAAAATGTATTTGTGTTACCTTTTTTTTCTCTACAACTTTGAATCTCAGCTTTATCAAATTGTGTGTTCTGTGTATTTAGTGCTTCACTGAAATGAAAGTGGGAAGGTTGGTCTCTGCTTAGAAGTTAAGGAAAGCATATTTGAGCAGGGTAAAAAGAAATTCCTCTTGCTCATTGCAGAGGATGAAAAAGAGTTTGGAGGTATTTCATCTGCTCCTAAGTCAGAAGACTAAGGAATGCTGACAACTTGCATTGCTGGAGATGAGAGGTACATTCAATCTCAAAGCTTTTAGATCAGTAACTCTGTATCCGAAAAAAGAAAACCCCTTTCTTCTTTAGATGTACTCTGCAGAG